GGGGAGCATTGATCAGGACTGCAATATTTTGGGCATATATGGATAATACAAGAACTGGGATACGTCACTGTCTCTCAGACAAGGTTAAAAAACTACCAGCAAAGGGACTTTCACAATCCTGTTTGCAATTTGCAACCCCGAGAAAGCACAGGAGAGAACCACTCCTTCTTCTCTAGTTTACCTACAACTTCCTGATAACTAGTCAGGCCATTTGGTCCATCTAGATCAGTGTCAATTATGCTGATTGGCAGCAACTCTCCAGGGTTTTAGGGACGGAAAGCTTTTTTCCCGTCATCTGCTGTGTGAATTCTGTTCACGGAGATACCAGGAACTGAACCCAGGGCCCTCTATACAAAGACTGCTCGTGCTCTCTTTCCCCCTTTGTGCCCCTGAGAGAAGCTTCCCTGCCTTGTCACCTGGAGGCAATTCTTATTCTCTAGGTGTCATGATCTGGGCTGTGCAAGCAAATGCCTAGTGGGAGGAGGTCAGGCCTACAACTCCCAGAAGCCCGAGAGGTTTTGGTGCCAATTTTAGCCAATCACAGAGAAAGGCGACGTATAACAAAAGAGCTGGTACAGAAAGAGCTGCTCTTTCTTCCATGAGGGCAGAGCCAGAAGGAAGGCTGCTGCAGGGAAGAGACCCTCACCCTGAGAGGGAGGGTGAGCAGACTGAGGCCCACTTGAGACAGTGAGCTAGGGACAGGAAGTTTAGATGCGTTAGAGCATTTGGTTTCCTTTCTTTTCATCCTCTTACTGATATTGTTCTTGCACCTTGTTTGTTTCCTATATTTGACGGACCTCCTGTAAAAATAAACTTTTTATCTGTTGTTTACTCTGCCTGGTCCTCATGCCTATTATTCGGTCAAACAAGGGAGGTCTGAAGGTCTGGGGAGGGTGCTCTGAACCTTCTCAAGGGATCCTAAAACCAGAGTGGTGGCAGCGTCAGGTGACACCCCACCTGAGCCATGTCACTAGGGATGACCAGTAAAGTGTTTATATATACACGCCTGTCTTTGACCCTTACTGAGAAACCTGTACAATCTCTCTGACATTATTGTAGCTCAGCCATCTCACGGTGTTTCTCCGAAGACTTCCAGTGACTCTTATAGAGTAGACCAGGTGGAAGCCCTGAAAGGCCACACCACTTATATGACGACCACGGGGCACTATGTCTGCAGGACCAGCTGCCCTGAGGATCACGCAGTGGCACCTTGTACTCAAGGGCTGCAATTGGGTTGGCTGGCTACTTACCCACCGCTGAGTGGTAGTGGGACAGCGCCTCGGCCAGCTGCCCAGCCGCCAAGAGCTTCCGACCCATTTCCAGGTGGTTCTCGATTTCGGCTTGTCCGGCAGCCAGCAGACCTGAAAGGCAGAGAACAGACAAAGAAATGAACACTCATCCCACAAACCGGAGCTAGAGAGGGACCCAGAGCTTCTTGGTGCCAGTACATGGACTCTCGACTATCTTTCCTTCTGCTTTCTGAAAGGTTCAGCAAAAAAAAAGGTGGTTTCTCTGAATTGCTTGATCAGCTCTGTAGCTCTTTCGCAAGCCAAGTTTCATCTTCTCTTCTGATTCTATCTGCTGCCTTCCACAAGCCCATCAACAATCTCGTTGTCTGAAATTGCCATGGAGAAGGAGGAGGGGATTGGGTTTATACCCTGCCCTTGATTCAGAGTCTCAGAGCGCCTTACAAACTCCTTTCCCTTCCCCTCCCCACAACAGGACACCCTATGAGGTAGGTGGGGCTGAGAGAGCTCTGAGAGAACTGCCCTTTCAAGGACAGCTCTTGTCAAAACTATGGCTTGCCCAAGGTCATCCAGCAGCTGCAAGTGGAGGAGTGGGGAATCAAATCCGGTTCTCCCAGATTAGAGTCCGCGCACTTAACCACTACACCAAACTGGCACAAGAAGGGCGGCCACAAAAAAAAAAAATAGAAAGCCGTCTGAGTAAAAACTATGTCGCTATTTATTAACTGGAAAATGTTAACTCTGCATCTCCCTGGTAGTTCAAGAAGGCTTACAATTCTATATTCAGGTCATCCATGATACTATTACTGTAGCTCTGAACTGTTTCTCAGAAAAAGACAGCAGCCTGAGATGATGTATGAGAAAGCCTCAAGAGATTAGTAGCGGGCATCCAACGCTCTCCCTGCCTTAATTTTATTCGCACAACAACACCATTAAAGAAACAGACTACATTTATTCACACCCCACCTTTCTCCCCAGTAGGGACCCAAAATGGTTTACATCGTTGGCCTCCCCTCCATTTTATCCTCACAACAACCCTGTGAGGTAGGGTAGGCTGAGTGGGTGTGATCAGCCCAAGGTCACCCAGCAAGCTTTGGTGGCCGCTCTGTGCAGATCTCGGAAGTTCAGCAGGGTCGGCCCTGGTTGGTATTTGAATTGGGAGACCACCAAGGAAATTCAGGGTCGCCACGCAGAGGCAGGTGACGGCAAAACCACCTCTGAATGCCTCTTGCCTTGAAAACCCTACAGGGCCTCCATAAATCAGTTGTGACTTGCCACCGGCACCTTCCATCACAACGTATCACTGGCCTTCTCATCCTGACCTGGGTAGCCAATCTCCGTAACTTTTGGAAGCTAAGCAGGATTGGCCCCAGTTAATACTTGGATGGGAGACCACCAAGGAAGTCCAGGGTTGTGATACAGAGGCAGGCAATGGCAAACCACCTCTGAATGTCTCTGAAGGAATTCGAACATGGGGCATCCACAGCCAACAATACAACCCCCACACCACCTACGTTTAGCGTCAAGCCACAAAAAGCCTTGCTTGCCATGTTCTACTAAAGGCACTCACACCAGCCTCATTTTCTCCACTGTCCACTGGGCTAGCCTTATTTATTTATACTAGCATTGTAACTCAATGGCAGAATTACACACAGGAAGCATATAATAATATGACCTATGGAGCCAAGTCGATACAACAGGTGTGTAGACCAACTGGGCAATCCTTTTAAATAGCAATATCTAAATTTTCAATCCACTCCGTCACAGCTAGGGAGAGTTGAAAGAGCTCCGTCACATCTCCCTGGAATGCATGAGGCTCACATTCCTGTGACAGATGGGAAACACTCTGGCAGGCTGCACCACAGTCACATCTACTTCTGCTTCATTGACTATGCTAAAGCCTTTGACTGTGTGGATCACAACAAACCATGGCAGGTCCTTAAAGAGATGGGAGTACCAGACCACCTCAGGTCCTTAAAGAGATGGGAGTACCAGAAACCTGTATAAGGGTCAAGAAGCAACAGTTAGAACCGGATATGGAACAACTGATTGGTTTAGCATAGGAAAAGGAGTACAACAAGGATGTATATTGTCACCTTGCTTATTTAATATATATGCAGAGTACATCATGCGAAATGCTGGCCTGGATGAATCACAAGCGGGAATTAAGATTGCTGGGGAAAAGATCAAGCAGACGATACCACTCTAATGGCAGAAAGTGAAGAGGACCTCAAGAGCCTCTTGCTCAGGGTAAAAGAGAGCGCAAAAGTGGGCTTGAAGCTCAATATAAAAAAAACTAAGATCATGGCATCCGGTCCCATCACTCCTTGGCAAATAGAAGGGGAAGTCGTGGAAGTAGTGACAGACTTCACGTTCCTGGGATCCCAGATCACCGCAGACTGTGACTGCAGCCATGAAATTAAAAGACGCCTGCTACTTGGGAGGAAAGCGATGGCGAACCTAAACAGCATGATAAAGAGTAGAGACATCACCCTGCCAACAAAAGTCCGCATGGTCAAAGCAATGGTATTCCCAGTAGTCATGTATGGCTGCGAGAGTTGGACTATAAGGAAGGCCGAGCGCCGAAGAATAGATTCTTTTGAACTATGGTGCTGGAGAAGACTCTTGAGAGTCCCTTGGACTGCAAGAAGAACAAATCAGTCAATCCTAAAAGAAATCAACCCTGACTGTTCCCTGGAAGGCCAGATAATGAAACTGAAGCTCAAATACTTTGGCCACCCAATGAGAAGGGAGCACTCACTGGAGAAGAAGACCCTGATGCTGGGAAAGATTGAAGGTCAAAGAAGACGGGGACGGCAAAGGATGAGATGGTTAGACAGTGTCATAGATGCAACGAACATGAAATTGAGCCAACTTCAGAGGACGGCGGAAGACAGGAGGGCCTGGCGGGATCTAGTCCATGGGGTCGCAAAGAGTCGGACTCGACTGTGCGACTGAACAACAACAACATTTTGCCCCATTTAAACAACGGGTCTGCAGAGCTGTCAAAGCCTGTTGGCATTTTATTAGCCATTGGCTAGCCTGAAACGCAACTCACCAAAAACACATAAGTAAACAATCCAAGTCACAAATGATAAAACTGAGTGCCAAACCCCTTTAAGAACACTGAGGACTAGTAGAATGGATAGGCGGAGAAAAACACTTTCAGGCTAAGTGAAGGACGTCACCGGAGGCGTGGTCTGAAAAGTGGGCGGAGTCTTACAACCAAGGACGACGCCTGGAGCCGCATGGAAAAGCGTGGCGGGAGGCGGCCACTAAGCAAAAGAGGGCGGGGCGAACAGGGGCGCAGTTGCTAAGGGCGGGACCCCCCTCCCCGTTCCCATGGTTACCTGGCAACTGCAAGTCCAGCAAAACGCAAAGCAAGGACGCCACCCAAAGCAGCCTCCTCTCGCAGCCGCCGGGCCCGAGCGAGGGGCTCTCCGCTCCTCTCCCGAGCAGCCCCAGGCCGCGCCACACCGGCAGTTGCCCGGACTCCATGTCCCAACTCCCGGAACCAACTCACTTCCGCATCCGTCTCGGTGAAACCCACTTCCGGCAGTTCCTTCGCTTGGCCGGCTTAGCGTTCTTTAACGCGGGGGGAACGGCCGCTCTGGGACCTCCCCTCTCTGTGATACGCAGGCCCGACCAATGACGGACAAGAGGGAGACAGCCCTGGCCAATCCGCTCCCTCTTTCTCGAGCTTCGGTAGCCAATCGGCGCGATCGGAGGTCACGGGGTCAAGCGAGGACGCGGGAGGCCCGGCGCTTGGATGATGAGAGCTGCGGGGAGGGGGTCATGAGGCTCCCGGTACGTGGGGCAAGGGAGGGAAGGCGGCGGCGGAGCAGTCAGGGGCGTCTTGGGGCAGACGGGAGGGGAGGGTTGCCAGCCTCCAGGTGGGAACTGGGGATCCCCCGGAATTGCAGCTCATCTCCATAGTGCAGAGATCAGTTTCCCTAGAGAAAACGGACACTTTGGAGGGTGGGTACTGTGCCACTGTAACTCACTGAGTTCCCTGTCCTCCCCAGGATCCACTCTCAAATCTCCAGGAGTGTCCCAACCTGGAGCTGGCAACCCTATGCACCTGTCCCCCGCCGGTGGCCAGGGAGGACCTGGCAACTTTATCCAGACCACATCGATCAGTTTTCCTGAAGCAAAATAGCATTATACCTGGTTGAGGACTCTCTCCCCCAAACCCCACCCTCCTCAGGCTCCACCCCTAAACCTCCAAGAAGTTCCCAACCCAGAGCTGGGCAGCCCTAAACCCTTAGCATTGCTTCGCACGTTCCAGAGGAGGTTCTCTGAGCATGTGCAGAGTGCCCCACTCGCCTCTCGATAACCTCAAGTCTTTCTGTCTATCACATTCTTACCCTGCCCTTTCGCTTAAGGAGCTTAGGTGAGCATTCCAGGTTTTTCCTTCCATGTTATTGATCACAAATAATCCTGTGAGGTATGTTAAGATAAGAGGCCCATTTGTTTTTCTTCCTATGTGAAGCAGAGAGCATACACTTTATGGAAACAAGCCAACTGAAGAGGGTCTGTGCAGTGTGTGAGCCCCGCCTGACTCCCCAGTACGGATTTATTTATTTATTTATTTTATTAAATTTCTAACCCGCCCTCCCACCGAAGCGGCTCAGGGCGGCTTACATAGAATTTTAAAACCAGCATACAATCTTAAAAGATGATAACAGTAGGTTTATTTCAGCATGTTGTCGAATGTCATTAAAGGATTCTGTAGGAAACGTGATAATCATCCCAGCAGAGTAGCTGTGTTAGTCTGTTGCACCAAAAACAAACACCTTAAAGATTTTTTTGGGGGGGAGGGGGGAATCCAGCACAAGCTTTGGTAGCCTCGAGCCCCCATTTCTTCTGATTCGTTACTGGGAGAGCTAGATTTGCCCCATCAGCTGGCATCTGCATACCCTTTATTCACAGAGTTCATTGGTAATAAGAATGATAATAAAATTCAAGGCTGTAAATAAATTGCAGTCAACTCAAAGTGATCCCTCATGGAATTTTCAAGGCAAGAGATGAGCAGAGTTGGTTTGCCATGATTGCCTTCCTCTGTTTGCCAACCCAGGGCCCCGGTCACACGGCAAAGTTGCCGCGGGAGAGGCACGGGAGTCCCGCGGATTTTCCGGGCGCAGTGCTCCCGTGGCGAACCCATGACTCCCCGCTGAAGGTGCGGAGTTAAAAACTAGTACCTACGAGGTACTAGTTTCCTGAAACCGCGGGCCAAGGTTGGGCGTCTGATCGCGTTCCCGGTGGACTTACGTGGCATCTGGCGCCCGCCGCTGTTCGTCTCTGCAGGTTGCGTAACAGTGCCCAACAGCACATGCGCACAAAGAGCGATTGCTAGTGCGATCGCGCCGCGTGGCTTCTGTGCCGCGCTGCAGGATACCTGTCTGATCGGCATTTCCCCCAAACCACGGGACCTTGACCGGGACGTGTGCTTGGGCAGCTGCGCGTTAGTTTCCTCTGGGGCAATTAGCCACGCCTCTCCTCCCCCCCCCCCGCCGCGATATCCGGCCCGTATGACCGGGGCCCAGTTATGTCTTGGTTGTCTCCCATCCAGGTACTACCCGTAACTGATCCTACTTCACTTCTGAGCTCTGATAGTCTTAGGTTAGTCTGGGCTGTTCCAGTTGCTCTTCTTCAATAAGCCAGCCCTTATATGCTTGAATTCTCCTCTTGATTCTTCCAGAGAGGGTGGCTGGCACACAGCTATGCTGATGGAGCCGGACTGCAAACGGCAGAAGACGGAGGAGCCGAGAGGTGCCTCTCCTTGGCAAGTGGTGCCGGTTCTTTCCGAGAGGGAATCGCAGGGCGTCACGTTAATGCCAGTCTACGCTGCCCCTGTCCTGGACAAGAAGGAGGCGTCACGTTTGGTGAAGGAGGTCTCCGCAATCTACCCGCTGGGTGACTACCCGCACTTGAAGCGCGTCCGAGCTCGTGGCTCCGTGGACAGCTCGCACCCGCTGGAGATGATCCTGTGCCGGGCGAGCGGCAGACACCAGCAAGGAGCTCTGCGGACACTCTCGGAACTCTTCCCCAGTGGCCAGCTGGACCCGTCGGGCTTGGGGACGCCTTTCCTGACCCAGGTGCCGGTCTACCCGCCCTTGACCAGACGCCAGTATGAGGAAGCGGCCTCCCACTGGCCGGTCTCCTTCCACGAAAACAAGCGCATCACCCAGGCCCTGAGCGGGTGCCTGTTCACTCCGTCAGAGAAGACCGCCCTGCAAAGCCACATGGAGCTGGCCATCCAAGCGGCACAGCGGGGGGCAAGGCAGGGAATGAAGCCGGTCGGGGCCGTGGTGGTCGACCCAGCCACCGGGAGGGTCCTGGCGGTGGGGCACGACTGCAGGGACGGCATCAACCCGCTACTCCACGCCGCCATGGTCTGCATTGACCTGGTGGCCTGCGGCCAGGGAGGAGGGGCCTATCGTTACCAAGATTATCCTGGCTGCAGCTTTCTTCTGTCGGCCAATGGTTTGGACCAGTCCTCTGGCGCCGATGGGCTGCCATACATCTGCACTGGTTATGACATGTACTTAACGCGGGAGCCTTGTGTGATGTGCGCCATGGCGCTGGTGCACTCGCGCATCGAGAGGGTCTTCTACGGGGCCCCCTCCCCGCATGGAGCCCTGGCGACCAAGTACCACATCCACAGCCGCAAAGACCTCAACCACCGCTATGAGGTTTACCGGGGCATTCTGGAGGATCGGTGCTGCGACTTGGCACACCTTTCAGTTCCCAAGTGACTCGCCACAGAGGGCTTATCCTTATGCTTATTTCTACCTTTAAAAAAAAAATATATATATATACAATTAAATTATTTTAAGAATGCTTGTGTGTTTATGATCATCGATAACATTGGCATCCGTGCTCGCTCTAAGGTGTGGAGTCGTGAGCAAAAATTCTACTTTCTGAGCGACTGGCATTAATGCTGTGAGTGAGCGATTTGGCTACGGGGTTAATTAGTTTGCTCTGGAGCCCTCCTTCCTGAGCCAAGACAAAAATGTGTGAGCCAGAAGCTAAAAAAACTGTGAGCTAGCTCACACTAACTCAGCTTAGAGGGAACAGTGGTCCTGATGTGGAAAGAAGGACAAAAAAGGGAAGGGGGAAAAAAACTGAACCTGAAACTTAGAATCCAGAACCTGACAAAGGTTAATCAAATGCAAGAAAGGGGGCCAATATTAAAAACGTAATGAAGGAAATATATAAAAAATACATGTATTTATTAGTCAGAAATTTTAAAATTATGTAAGGGCCCAATCACACGTTATGTATAAAACACAAGGGCTTATAAACATAGGCCTTCCTCAAAAGTCAATAGTGAGGAACATATTGGCTATTATAAAAATATAGTACAATCATGTAAATACAAAGTATAAATTCAATAAGGACCAGAAGCAAGTACAAATGAGGCCTCTAAAAAGTACAAATGAGGCCTCTAAAAGTGAAATCACATATTGGCTATTATAAAAATATAGTACAATCATGTAAATACAAAGTATAAATTCAATAAGGACCAGAAGCAAGTACAAATGAGGCCTCTAAAAAGTACAAATGAGGCCTCTAAAAGTGAAATCACATGCCAAGTGGTTCTCAGATATAAACGTCTGGTTCAGGAATTGCCTTCCTATGGTTGTAGAGCCAAATTGTCCTCAAGCAAATGAGTGGTCGTGCACCCCCTGAGGCTGGTTTGTTGAGAAAGGGCCTATATCAGTTACAACAAAACCCTTATTATTTATCCTATGGGCAGAGTTGCACACAGGAGGCATATAATAATATGAAATATGGAATCAAGTTGATACAGCAGGTATGCAGACTGATTGAGCAATCTCCCTAAATTCTAATATCGAATTTTTCATTCCAACCAATTGCAGCTGGGGAGAGTTCAAAGAGCCCCATCACATCTCCCTGGAAATCACGATGCTCACGTTCCCGTGACAGATGGAAAATAGTTTGGCGGACTGTACCATAATCACTTTCGGGTCCTGGTATTTTGCCCCATTTAAACAACAGGTCTGCATAGCTGCCAAAGCCTTTTCGTATTCTCTTAGCCGTCCTCCATACTTTATGCGGCAGGTCAAATCCTGTGAGCTCTCGTTGGTGTTTATCAGGGTATGGATATTGGGTGGAACTGATTGCATCCACATTCACAACCATTCATTCCCTAGACTGAACTTTTTTTGATTGCAGGATTTGTGCAGATATTATTGCTGGGTGTCGGGATCTTCGTCTGGAGAGGCCCGCGTCAGCCATGTCTTTGTGGATGGGCAACTCTCTGTTTTCGATGATCTTTCTATATTCACGAAGAAGATCATCTTGTCTTTGGAAAGGTGGGGGAGCGATGTGGCACAACGTGGGTAGCCAGTAGGCTGGGGTGGGTTTAAAGAATGGTTAAAATTCAGGGTTAGCAACCAGCTGTCCTTCCCAAGCTCATTTACAATTCCCCTGGCTCAAGAGAGATTTTTAAGGATTGCGGTCAACCTTACGATGCCTGTAAAAATCAAAGATCTTCCCCTGCTTCTGTAAGCACAGCAGGGAGCTTACAGAAAGGCAACTTAAGGACGTTTGTTTATTAAATTCTATTTATTCATCTAAGGATGCAAAAAGCTTTTGAGCATAAAATAACATTTTAAACCAATATGCATGTTTCTGACACAAGCAGTGCACGGATGCTGCCTAGAATCCATGGCTTAAAGTGGTGTGTGTGGGGTAGATTTCCAGGGAGGGAAACTATGTGTGGGGAGAGTAACCTTCCCTTCCCAATGCCGTGGCCCCTAAACCATATCACCACCTTATTTGTGGCTGCAGTTCTGGGTGAAGTACTAGGGCCAGAGTCCCAGTCAGGAAACTCCCAACATCATGTGCAATTAACTGGGGGTTATGTGGAAAGGTCCACTTCAGAGGTCCACCTGGCAACGCTACCGGGTGAGGAAGGGAGCTACGCTTGGGGTGGAAGATGGGGAGCCAAAAAGCTATTGCTGAGGAACCCCACGTAAACTGTGGAGGAACTGCAGTCTGGGGTGAACACTGCCAGTTTCGGATCACCTGGGGTTCAAAATATAGTCTGCAAGGTTTGTTTTTTTAAAATAAATTAATTTTAAAATACGTCACATATATTAAACACAACACGTATATTGAAACTATAAATAAAGCATATAAAGCTGTGAAGTTAAGATGAATAAGCCCTGGTCGACCATCAAGCTTTTGACTCACACAGGATGCTTCTTCAGAGGCTGGGTTCAAATGAGAACCATCCTGTACAGCGCCTGAGTTTTACTCGGCTGCCTTGTGCCTGCTCTCTTTGCTTGGAGACAGAGGAAGGGAGACATCTTATAAAGACTGCTGCTACTGCTAGTAAAACAAAAGTCCAGGGGCACTCAAAACCCAAAGCCACACAGTACCTTTTATTTGGAGCAAACACAATAAAGGAAAACAGGCTGCAAACGTCTGAGTTCTACAGAACTCTGCAGAGCTACAGAACTCGAGCAGACTAGATGTTCAAATGGGGTAGTGGTGGAGATGTTTCAGGCCCTGCTCTTGAAACTCTTCTGTCTGTATCTGTAGCTGACAAAATGGTAGAGCTGGTGTCGGGTTGCAGCCATCTAAGATGAGAGGGGAGTATAATGGCCCTCTGTTGGAAATATTTTAAAAGCAGTTAATCAAATGCCTCTCTGACACCACAGGTAAGTTTCTGAAAAGGCTGAGAACAGAGCAAAACCCCTGGGACTGGTGATTATATTAGCACAATTGAAGAGTAGGTAAGGAACAAGTTCTCAGCATCAGAAGGGAACAAATGTATGCAACGGTGTCGTTTCTTTAAAACAAACGCACTGTTGTATCGGCGCAGCATATAAATGCGACCTCCTTCAAATGTTAGATAGACGTCTTTCCGAATAGTCACTGTAGAAAATGAACGTGTCATTGAAACACCATAGTGCATCTAGTATTAAGGCTTGTAATACGAGCTGTTTACCCGACCAGCAGAGTGGCGCAGCGGAAGCGTGCTGGGCCCATAACCCAGAGGTCGATGGATCGAAACCATCCTCTGCTAACTTTTTTTTTTTGTTATTTGAATTTAAATTTTAAAAGCCCATTGGCGAGAAGAAAAATGCTACTTTAAAATAAGTTATAGGCAGAATGAATGGAAAAGCAGTTCGTGAAGCACCAAGAAAGAAGCTATCATACAGCCGAAGTGTGGCTTCGAGCCACGGTCTGGGAAGGAAAAGACTTGACGTTTAGAAAACTTTTGCCAATTCCTCGCGTAAATAGAGATTCTAAATTTGGGGAGAAGAAGGGGGAGGACGGAGCTTCCGTCGATCTTCTGACCTGCTCTGACTTCTATGACAAATATGAATTTAGAAGTGTTTTTTTTTAGATTGGAAAAGGAAAATTATTTGTGCCACTTCAAACCGAGAAGCACGACTTTGAATGAATCAAACGCAGCTGGCTGGCAACACTGACAGCCAGTTCTGCCCATTAATCGGCACCCCCTCCTCTCCCCAGCTGTCGAATCGATCGCAATCGATTTCTGATTGGTTGCCGGGAAGCTTTTAAAAGACGCGATGCTCCCTGAACTGGCAGTGGAATTGATCCTGGTTTTCCAATTGATCTTTGAAACTGATCTTCACCCGCGTCCACGAAGGGGCGTTGAAGACCGAGTCCTACGAGGCTTGTGCATTGTGTTGTCTTGGTTATAGGCTGGCCTTAACGAAGAGGTGTTAAGAGGCTTTTATTGGTTGGATGGCTGCAGCCAAATATTTCAGCTGTAGGGCAGTCAACTGCCTGCCTGCACTGAGTACGATACACATTAAAATATGACCGGAAGTGCTTGATTCTTCGATGCTACCTAATACGACCGATTTGCTCGTTCTTTAGGCACGCCCACTGAGCAAGAGATACGGAAATGATTCAGAGCGTAATGGAAAAATAATGTGCACTTTGTTGCACTAAAGAAGCCGTGTTGGAATAGTTTTTATGGGACTTCCTCTGCATTTTTTTCCGGTTAGGAAGCAAAAGACATTGCCGCCCGAACAGGGACTTGAACCCTGGACCCTCAGATTAAAAGTCTGATGCTCTACCGACTGAGCTATCCGGGCTCTGTTGATAACAGACTTCCGGATTCGTCTAGTAGAGATCAAACCAGAGAGGCGCCCGAACCGATTCCCTGCTTCTTTGTAGATTTTCTTCGTTTTGAATTTGGCAACATTCTTTCTTGTAACATTCCTTTTGCAACAGTTGATCCTTGTCCATGGTAATATTAAAGACAGAGAATCGTCTTTTCACATGTACTACTTGGAATGTTATAGTTGATGCAATTACCATAATTCAAATATTGAGACTCCTTTTTTTCCAAGTGTCAGGATGGCCGAGCGGTCTAAGGCGCTGCGTTCAGGTCGCAGTCTCCCCTGGAGGCGTGGGTTCGAATCCCACTTCTGACATATATAACTTTTTTAAAACCAAAGCTGTCATTTCCAACTGGCTAAGGCAGTAACTTACAATTTAAGATCTGTATAGGATTATGTAATTTTCTCTGTTTCACTGTCCTGTCGTTAGAATTTAAAATCCGGAGTCATGTATTTACTTATCTAAAATATGTACAAACGCACCTTTCTTCCAGAAATCTGGAATCCAGTCCAAAGTGGGTAACCTCATGCAATAAAAATTCACTGCAGAAGCCATCTCGAAAATTCTACTGCTGCCCAGCTCAACAGCCTCTTTTGGAACTCCGCAGTTCGGATGCCTTTCT